AGATATTCCATGCAAATTAAAATCAACAGAAAGCTGGAGTAGCAATACTCATATCTGATAAAATAGACTTTAAAATAAAGAATGTTACAAGAGAAAAGGAAGGACACTACATAATGATCAAGGGATCAATCTAAGAAGATATAACAATTATAAACATATATGCACCCAACATAGGAGCACCTCAATATTAAGGCAACTGCTAACAGCTATAAAAGAGGAAATCGACAGTAACACAATAATAGTGGGGGACTTTAACACCTCACTTACACCAATAAACAGATCAACCAAAGAGAAAATTAATACGGAAACACAAGCTTTAAACGACACAACAGACCAGATAGATTTAATTGATATTTACAGGACATTCCATCCAAAAACAGCAGATTACACCTTCTTCTCAAGTGCGAACGGAACATTTTCCAGGATAGATCACATCTTGGGTCACAAATCAAGCCTCAGTAAATTTAAGAAAACTGAAATCATATCAAGCATCTTTTCAGACCACAACACTATGAGATTAGAAATCAATTACAGGGAAAAAAACACAAACACATGGAGGCGAAACAATACGTCACTAAAAAACCAAGAGATCACTGAAGAAATCAAAGAGGAAATCAAAAAATGCCTAGAAACAATAGACAATGAAAACATGGCGAGCCAAAACCTATGGGATGGAGCTAAAGCAGTTCTAAGAGGGAAGTTTATAGCAATACAAGCCTACCTCAAGAAACAACAAAAATCTCATATAAACAATCTAACCTTACACCTAAAGGAACTAGAGAAAGAAGAACCAAAAAAACCCAAAGTTAGCAGAAGGAAAGAAATCATAAAGATCAGAGTGGAAATAAATGAAATAGAAACAAAGAAAACAACAGCAGAGATCCATAAAACTAAAAGCTCGTTCTTTGAGAAGATAAACAAAATTGATAAACCATTAGCCAGACTCATCAAGAAAAAGAGGGAGAGGACTCAAATCAATAAAATTACAAAGGAAAAAGGAGAAGACACCGCAGAAATACAAAGCATCCTAAGAGACTACTACAAGCAACTCTATGCCAATAAAATGGACAACCTGGAAGAAATGGACAAATTCTTAGAAAGGTATAACCTTCCAAACTGAACCAGGAAGAAACAGAAAATATGAACTGACCAATCACAAGTAAAGAAATTGAAACTGTGATTAAAAATCTTCCAACAAACAAAAGCCCAGGACCAGATGGCTTCACAGGTGAATTCTATCAAACATTTAGAGACGAGCTAACACCCATCCTTCTCAAAGTCTTGCAAAAAACTGCAGAGGAAGGAACACTCCTAAACTCATTCTATGAGGTCACCATCACCCTGATACCAAAACCAGACAAAGACACTACAAGAAAAGAATATTACAGAGCAATATCACTGATGAATATAGATGCAAAAATCCTCAGCAAAATACTAGCAAACAGAATCCAACAACACATTAAAAGGATCATACACCATGATCAAGTGGGATTTATCCCAGGGATGCAAGGATTCTTCAATATATGCCAATCAATCAGTGTGAAACACCATATTAACAAACTGAAGAATAAAATCCATATGATCATGTCAATAGATGCAGAAAAAGCTTCTGACAAAATTCTACACCCATTTATGATAAAAAAATCTCCAGAAAGTGGGCACAGAGGGAACCTACATCCACATAATAAAGGCCATATACGACAAACCCACAGCAAACATCATTCTCAATGGTGAAAATCTGAAAGCATTTCCTCCAAGATCAGGAACAAGACAAGGATGTCCACTCTCTCCACTATTATTCAACATAGTGTTGGAAGTCTTAGCCATGGCTATCAGAGAAGAAAAAGAAATAAAAGGAATACAAATTGGAAAAGAAGAAGTAAAACTGTTACTGTTTGCAGATGACATGATACTATACATAGAGAATCCTAAAAATGCCACCAGAAAACTACTAGAGCTAATCAATGAATTTGGTAAACTTGCAAGATACAAATTAATGCACAGAAATCTCTTGCATTCCTATACACTAATGATGAAAAATCTGAAAGAGAAATTAAGGAAACACACCCATTTACCACTGCAACAAAAAGAATAAAATACCTAGGAATAAACCTACCTAGGGAGACAAAAGACCTGTATGCAGAAAACTATAAGACACTGATGAAAGAAATTAAAGATGATACCAACAGATGGAGAGATATACCATGTTCTTGGATTGGAAGAATCAATATTGTGAAAACGACTATACTACCCAAAGCAATCTACAGATTCAGTGCAATTCCTATCAAATTACCAATGGCATTTTTTACAGAACTAGAACAAAAAATCTTAAAATCTGTATGGAGACACAAAAGACCCTGAATAGCCAACGCAGTCTTGAGGGAAAAAAGCAGAGCTGGAGGAATCAGGCTCCCTGACTTCAGACTATACTACAAAGCTACAGTCATCAAGACAATATGGTACTGGCACAAAAACAGAAATATAGATCAATGGGACAAGATATAAAGCCCAGAGATAAACTCACGCACCTATGGTCAACTAATCTATGACAAAAGAGGCAAGGATATACAATGGAGAAAAGACAGTCTCTTCAATAAGTGGTGCTGGGAAAACTGGACAGCTACATGTAAAAGAATGAAATTAGAACACTCCCTAACAGCATAGACAAAAATAAACTCAAAATGGATTAGAGACCTAAATGTAAGACCGGACACTCTAAAACTCTAAGAGGAAAACATAGGAAGAACGCTCTTTGATATAAATCACAGCAGGATCTTTTTTGATCTACCTCATAGAGTAATGGAAATAAAAACAAAAATAAACAAAGGGACCTCATGAAACTTCAAAGCTTTTGCACAGCAAAGGAAACCATAAACAAGATGAAAAGACAACCCTCAGAATGGGAGAAAATATTTGCAAACGAATCAAAGGACAAAGGATTAATCTCCAAAATATATAAACAGCTCTCTCTCTCTCTCTCTATATATATATATATATTTTTTTTTTTTTGCAGTACATGGGCCTCTCACTCTTGTGGCCTCTCCCGTTGCAGAGCACAGGCTCCGGAAGCACAGGCTCAGCAGCCATGGCTCATGGGCCCAGCCGCTTCGCGGCACATGGGATCTTCCCAGACTGGAGCACGAACCCGTGTCCCCTGCATCGCAGGCGGACTCCCAACCACTGCGTCACCAGGGAAGCCCGCAGCTCATTATTAAAAAAACAAACCAATCCAAAAATGGGCAGAAAACCTAAATAGACATTTCTCCAAAGAGGACATACAGATGGCCAAGAAGCACATGAAAAGCTGCTCAACATCACTAATTATTAGAGAAATGCAAATCAAAACTACAATGAGATATCACCTCACACCAGTTAGAATGGGCATCATCAGAAAATCTACAAACAACAAATGCTGGAGAGGGTGCGGAGTAAAGGGAAACCTCTTGCATTGTTGGTGGGATTGTAAATTGATACAGCCACTATGGAGAACAGTATGGAGGTTCCTTAAAAAACTAGAAATAGAACTACCATACGACCCAGCAATCCCACTACTGGGCATATACCTAGAGAAAACCATAATTCAAAAAGACACATGCACCCCAATATTCACTGCAGCACTATTTACAATAGCCAGGTCATGGAAGCAACCTAAATGCCCATCGACAGATGAATGGATAAAGAAAATATGGTACATATCTACAATCGAATATTACTCAGCCATAAAAAGGAACGAAATTGGGTCATTTGTAGAGATGTGGATGGATCTAGAGGCTGTTATACAGAGCGAAGTAAGTCGGCAACAGAAAAACAAATATTGTATATTAACACATATATGTGGAACCTAGAAAAATGGTACAGATGAACCGGTTTGTAGGGCAGAAATTGAGACACAGATGTAGAGAAGAAATGTATGGACACCAAGGGGGGAAAGTGGCAGGGGGTGGGGATGGTGGTGGGATGAACTGGGCAATTGGGATTGACATGTATACACTGATGTGTATAAAATTGATGACTAATAAGAACCTTCTGTACAAAAAAATAAATAAAATAAAATTCAAAAAATTTTTAAAAAAGCAAATTCATTCTAACTCCTCAGAGCTGATGTCTATGCCCTCACCCAGTTCTAAGACAAAAAGAAAAAAAGTAAGCTGTTTATTCTCTGTATAATTTTAAGCTTTTAGAAGCTTATACATTCATTTTATTTATGTTTTATACACATATTGAGCACAACGCATGAACTTAATACATGCTAATAACAGAAGAAAACAAATTATATTACAAAATGCAAATTCTTCTTAGTTGCATAAACTTACTTAAACAGCTAGGTTCCAGACATCAATTTTCGAATAATCGAGTTTTCTCTAAGTTACTCCAGAAGACTATTTGCATATAACTTTTGGAAATCTCCACTCCAAATTTCTTTCAATGTAAATAGCACTTAATGTTTTCAATCAGCAACAGGCTTAAAGAATACACTAGAATATCTGAGATCAGTGCTCTAGACTTTTCTACCTATCAGAAGTGTGTGTATGTATGTGTGTGTGTGTGTGTGTGTGTGTGTGTGTGTGTGTGTGTAACAATAGAGTAACTGAATTTGAGCCAAATCCATCTTGCAGCTGTACTAATAATTTGATCCTAAAAGGATATTTAAGTATGTATTCAAATATGGATAACTTAAAAATCTTAAAATCTCAAGCCACAGTCACAAAAAATGGTATCATGTAGTAAAATTTCTTTAGAATCTCCATTTACAATTCCAAAAAAAAAAAGCCACAGATACAGAGAACTATCTGATAGCTAATTTTATTCACCTCTGCTCTGATTTTAATATGACTACATTAAAAAACCTTGTAAAGAAATTTAGCAATGTTAAATTTCAGTTCAAGGCCTTTTTAAAACCTTTCAGTTCCAGCATAGAAATAATACACAGAAATATCATTTCTAATGCCTGAGAAACAGTGAAGCATGTGCTTTAAAGAACGAAGTCATATTAGTCTCACCTGCATTGATGCTCCTTCCACTCTTGCCACACAGGCAACCTGATCCAGGAAAGTCACTGCCACAGGCACCGCCACAAAGAAGCCTTTACAAAATGCCTTGAAGTATCTCTTCACCCAGCCTTGAGACAGTGCCATACCTAAAAGCACAAAGAAAACAAATATGAAATTAGCCTCAAAAAGGTGAAAAAGAAAAACATAAAAACAGCCCAAGAAAAATAAGAGTTAAGAAAAAGCAACCTCATCTCAATATGTTTCACACTCATCCCTATAACCATTGGAATAAATTTGACTTAAAATCCCAAAGGCAAATACATTAACTTAGGTTAACTCTTTTCAGTAGCTCAAGTAAATTTCAATAGAAAACTTCTCCTCACAAAGCAATGAGTTAGGAAAAAAATAAGCATTCCAAAAGTAAATCCTTTCCTGTTGCTGACTATGGTGGAGATGCTCCTTAAAGCCCTGATATCTGTTCTCTTCTGCAATAATAGAAGTTCTAGTGGGACACATGGCTGCCCAGCCTCCCTTGCAGCTAAGTGTGACCATGTGACTATGTATGATGAATGGCATATGAGCAGCAATTACATACTTACACACTGTGCCCTTAAAAGAAGTATGCCCTCCACTTTCTGTTCCCATTTTGTGATACCTGTGATAAGGACGTGGTTGTAGGATCAGGAGTAGCCATCTCAAGTTAAACATGGCAAAGCAACAAAATAGAAGGGTCCTAGGTCCCCAGCACCATGCAGACACTGTCATTGCCCTGCATCGCTTACACTCGAGCTGTTAATTAAGAGGTAAATCATTTTCCATCATATTTAAGCCAATGCTATAGGGCCTATGTTATAGCAGCCAGACTGATCCTAACTAATACAACAATGAAATCTACAAAAAATCAAGAAAAAAAAATCACTGCATATGAATTCAATACAGAAAATTATCAACCCTCACTTAGCCCTGTAACTTGATTAATTTTCAGATTTCAGATTGCCTAGCTAAGGCAATCCTTAAACTGTCTCAAGCAATGAAAAACAAAATAGTGAGATCAAAATATGCTACCCTAGAAGATCCAATGGACCCAAACTCAGTCCAACAGATGAAGAATCTTCCTGGCTGGAAAAGACAAATGACCAGTTTGTTCACCAGTTTCTCAAAACAATACTTATTCACACTGTGTAACAGACTATAATTTTTGTCTGTTTTATTTCTTGAACAGGACTAGATAGATACAGGGAGACCGGATTATTCTAGCAGTCCAGGGCAAGAGATGATGGTAGGATGGATTATGGTGGTGGTGGTGGTGGTGGAGAGGGACCAACATGGGCAAACTTATACCTATTTTGGAAGTTAAACTGACAGGATTGAAAATGGATGGGCAAGGGCTGGGGAGAGGAGAGGAGACAAGAAAACTGTCAAGGGGTAGTTGTGACCTATCCAAGCACTGTTATTTTGTCATTCCCTTGGATTGCATTCCAAAGTACTAAAAACATGCTCATGATTCAATTCCTCAAACTTCTAATAAGTACAAGGTCATAAGGTGGGTGTTAGGGATACAGGAGTGAAAAGTAGATACGGTCCTTGCACTCAAGGAGTTACAAAGTGCCAGGGAAGACTGCCCTTAAACAAATATTTCCAATGGAAATGAGCATTAAAATGGGCCAATGTCTCTGGAGCACAGGAACATGGAGCAAGGAAGTCTATCCATCAGAAAATGATTCAGGAAGGTCTCTCAAAGGAAATGGCATTTGAGGTGAGACCTGGGCTCTTCAGCAAAAGGAGCAGCATGTATGAAGTCTTCAGAGCAAAATAAAATACGGTTATTATAGAAACTAAAAGAAGTTCAGTTTGGATGGAGTATACACAAACTTTACCATGTTAATTCTCAATTTTTAATTCAGTAAACATTTATTTACTGCCTGCTAAACACCAATGCTAAGTGCAGAGGATATAAAGACAGCTACATATACAGTATAATATCATTTAAAAACTCTCACTAAATATATTTTCTATATAAATGTATGCATATAAAAGCATTTTAAATAGTTATCTGCGGTATTGTTTTAATCATTTAATAAACACCCATATGTCACTTGAATAATTATTAAAATATAGAGAGACATAAAAAAGCAGGTTTACCAAAATGCTAAAAATGGTTCATTCTAGATGTTGAGAAAGTAGATGATGAACTATTTTCTTCTTTGAACTTCAGTTGGTTTCTAATATTTAAAAAAGAAAGATGGTCCTTAGAAGTCACTTTAATGTATAGATACTATGGGGTAAAACTAGTCTTGCTCTCTTTCCCATCACAATAAACAAACCACACTTTTGCAGTTTAGTCCCTGCTGCTCCAAGTAAGATTCTTCTCTGTTTGTGCACCGATCGATATATTATAACTGACTGCAATTCTTTTATGTAGCCGATTCAGACTATGACAGAATATTACATGCTTTTGAAAACATCTTGAAAGTCTGAAGAGCCTTGGAAATTCTTACCTTTCTACTCACCCATAGTAAGTACTTTAGTTCAAACAGGAAAAAAATACTGACAATTCATATAACAACTAACCTGACCACTTGACTATTTAAGTAATTAATAAACTGGCTTTAAACACACAAACCTATGCTTGCTTAAATATATTTTAATAATCAGGTCAAAGAGACTTAGATAACCAGAGGATTTAGACTCAAAAAAAAAAAACGGATAGTACAAATAGAAAAACTTGCTTCTATATATCTGTGGCTCTTAGAATAAAAGTAGCAAATATATTGACAGAATGAAAATATAATGTGTTCTCTTGGCTGTTCCCTGTGCCCTGCATGCATGGACCTTCACCTTCACTAAATAACTAGGGATAGCAGCAGGATAGAAACTAGGAAAGCTTCAAATACGATGACGCCACAGCTATCCCAGTTGTAAGGTAGCATGCATGATTACAATGTAAATTAAAGGGGAAAAATACATTAACATAAGTTGCATTAAATTCAGGTTCCCAGAATTTTACACCTCCAATTCTTTTCCAATATAAACTCCCCCCTATACTGCTACTCTATTCGGTCACTGTGGCACCCAGGAAGGAGCATGGTAACGAGAGTCAGGGGCCCTGAGGTGGTGTCCTCTCTATGTCTACAAATAGCTGCATGACTTTGATCAACTCACTTCTGGTCCTCAGTTTCCTCATCTATAAAAAGACAGGGGTTAGATTCAATTTCTAAGATCCTTTCTAGGGCTAACATTCTATATTTCTATACATTTTTTGATTGCTTCTCCAGGACATTGAAAAGGTACTAAAATTAAGAAAAGCACTTAGATTATTATTGACTAAGAAGAAATGTTATGTTGCCTTTTAGGTTTGAGATTTTTTTTAATGTTGAAATGAAAAAATAACTTTGCGTTTATTAAACAAATAGTTAAAAAGGGAAGCAAAGAGGAAGTTGGAACTAGTGCAATTTCTGTGAAAGGACATTTTAAATACAGGTAAAGACCTGAAAGCCACTGCCCTTTCCCTTCTCACACTCACAACTCCACTGCTCATCAGGGCACTGCTGCCATCTCCTGCACAACGGTAAGGACAAATATTTTTCTACTGAGAGATTCTCAAAGAGCATGTGGGAGCTGTGGGAGGTGTGCCAATCTGAAGGTGTGCAGATTCTGCCCCAAGCCAAGGGGGAAAATAAAAGCTGCCTTGCAGATAAGGGGTCACTATTTTCAGAGGCTTAAAAGCAAAGTCTCAGTACAGTCCTGTCCTACCCGAATTGTGAACCACACCTCTACCTCATAACAGAACGCTTTTAGAAGCTTCTCACTATCATTAGAATACTAAAGCTATACAGAAATGAAGAAATGAATATTATACTTCTATGTCAAGTCATATCAAATAAACTGCTTAAAGTGCTATGGCATTCACACTTCATTAAAGTTAAGGTATTTCTTTTTCTATAAAGAACCATTGGGATGATCTGGTGTTTTGTTCACACCTTAAATGTTTAAAACTACCATACTAATAAGCACCTAGCATCCACTTCCTCTGCCAAAATTTCCTTTAAGCAATAATAATGTGACCATCCCCGGCAAAAAAGGAATAATTTTTATTCCTAGTGAACTAGTGAACTCAATTCTTCTAGTAACCATGCAAGTCATTTAGGTTCAAAACGCTGCTCCTGAGAAAATTATTGCTTAAGTAGCAGGCACATCTGGTTCATTGCTAAAGTACATAAACTGAGAATATTTTTAAATAAGCTTTCAGAGTTCACTGAAATCATATTTGCCACCTGGTATAAAACACCTGCAAGTAAAAGGTTTTTGGTGCTACTGACCTCAACCACATAATGACCTATACTCTAAATACCTCTCTTTCCTCTCACAACTTGTTATGGTTTGATCATACATGAATTCATCCAAAATCATTCTTAAATTTGCATATATTTTAGCTTATACAAAGTCACTAATCACTCATCCATAGCAACCAGGTGAATAAATACAACTCAAGTCATCCTAATTATAAAAACTATTTTAAAATTGTGTGGCAGGTTTGAAGGTAAGAGGAAAACAATAAATTACAAAGCAGTATCTTATATAAAATGTAACCTTTCTATCACAGAAATCAGCCTGCACATTTGGATAGCCAAATCAAGATTTTATTTGTAAATTCAAACTATGAATATCAGAGAATAAAAGAGCAGGGACCCAAACAAATCTGACACCAATTCCTGACTCAGTCAATATATATTTATTGATCACCTACTATGTAACTGTGCTAAGGGGTGAGCACATAATGCAGAACAAGGCAGGCTTGGTCCTTGGCCACGTGGAGCTTACATTTTCATTCTCTCTACATTAAGTGCCTACTTTGTGCTACTCACTATGCTAAGATACCAAAAGTAAAATGGTACACTGAGTCATAGTTCCTTCCCAAAGGCCCTGTGATAAGATCACAAGAAATGAGTAGATGACCACACACGATCAGGCTACCCTCCTCCATGTATCTCTCCAGGAGCTCCTGGTACCAATAACCTCACTCTGCAAACAAAGCATAAGCATGTGCAATAGGAGGCAGGAGGCATTAGGATACGTTTACACTGAATCAAGGGAAAAATAATAACTGATGAACTAGAACAATTTTGATTCCACTGGAAGCAGATCT